AAMMRAAARRAAAAWAAAAGCAGKTTTTTTYATCATTCCTCATACRAATACCTTTAAAAGWGARATACAATATTGCAATTCAAGCAAAAAGTTACTTTGATCATTCAGAATTATTGACAGGGCTCCAGCAGCCCTATCTTTGCCTAATTCCTGAATCAATCAAATACCAGATGAGAAGAAAAAAGGACTAAGTCAATGCAYACCAGATATAAGACAAACAAAGGGTATTAAACTGCTCAAAGTTGTCAAAATCAGCTTATAGAATTCTAATAAATTTTAACTACTCCAAACCAAGCAAATATAGCTATGAAAACAACTCATTAAAAAGCTTTAAACTACCATTAACTTAGTCATAGTTGGCCTCGGACCACCTATAAAATGACTGTCTTCATTATCCTCTTCTAACTCATCAGGAACCAAAGAGGAGTCCTGTTGCTGCTCCTCTGGAGCAGGCATCAACTCTGGAAGCTGGAGAAGCTCCATGTTGCATTTGCCAGCAGCTTTCTTTACTCCAGGTACTTCTTGAACTCTTCGATACCAGCTGGATATCAATGGCAAGTTTACCAGATTTTTGCCCTGTTTCTTGCTGGAAACCTAGAAAAATAAAATTGGTAGGTTAGAAGATAATTTTTTTTGCTACAAGCCACCAAAAGGCATGAACTACAGAAGTGAGCTCAGCTCCATGCTGAGCACATGCATGCACAGTATGATTGCAATACAAAAAATCAGCTGGTTCATAGCTCCAGGTGGAATTGGCAGTTGGCTATTTAGACTTGATGGGCAATTCTCATTTGCTTAATAGGATGCAAAGGTTTACATGACCTATTTTAATCATAATTTCAGTCAGTAACAGGAAAACTCAATAATAAATTAAATAATACTCTTAAATATGTGCTATTTCCTAACACAGGGGGAATGATTCRTTTTGGTTGGTCATTCAACAGAAAAGCCCAATACAGTAATTTGCAATGATTACTGAACTCTAAGCATGACATTATGGTACCTGAAAGTTCTTACCCATGAGTACCCCTTAAAAGCTTATCCACCAACAGCTGTTTTGCTGGGAACTGCAAGTCTGAAATATCTTCACCTATGTGGTAACAGGCATACATTACCCCTTTCTTTACTGAGGTCTTTGCACTACATCTGTGACTTTTTTTTTTTAATTAGTACAGAATCTTTGTTATTAATTGTGTATTTACTCAGACTTCTTCAGAATCTTGTTTGTATTTTTATGCAATAAGGGCAATGAATATATTCATTTTCTGAATTAAGAGTATGCAATTATGAGTTAATGTGGCACTCCAACAGAAATTAAATTTTAAGTGTAAAAAATTAAATTGCTTCAGTAAGAATATGTTGCACATATTAAAAAAATAATATGCCCAAATCACATTTTAACATGAACTCCAGCTACTTTAAAAAAAGAATACATTTGGTGAAATTAAATAACTTTTGGTTAGATTCCTAAATATTCTAGAACAATAGAGATCATTCTCTTAAGTCTCCTTAGAGACACTCAAAATATGACTGGACATGGTCCTGRSCAACCTAGCTGACCCTGCTCTGAGTAGGGTGGTTAGATAAGATGAGCTCCAGAGGTGTCCTCCAACCTCAATTTTCGAACTTCAACTATTGTGTGATGATGTGCCTGCTTTAAAAAGAAAATTCAAAATCATTATTACAGAAAAAGGCAGAAAAACCCCTGCAAAACCAGCAYACCTCCAAGGATGTGTCTACAGTGTGGAAACAGAAATTGGTAAAAAACACTCAAAATAACASAAAATTTCAAACAGCTCTCCTGCATGCTGTCTTTATAACATGCTTAGGGTAATCACAGGTAATTAGCAATAGCTGAAGGAGCAAAAGAAGGATGAACTGTGTAACTTTAGTATATAATTCAATATCCTAATAGTGACTTGTGCAAAAACGCATTAATTCAGTTAAGGAAGTCTTTTGGAAAGCAGTTCTAAGGGGCACTGTTACACTTCTTATCAAGTGTTCTAAATTGCATTTTAAAAAGTGAATAATGGTTTCTCCCAGATGAGGAGCTGAGCTTTTGTTATACTCCTATTAATTTTCAACAGTTACAACTAATAGAAGGTGTAACAAAGGTAACCTCAGAACARTAACAGCAACGAGTGAGGTAATGAAAAACAACCCTTCAGCTTCATTATCTTACTTTTGGTAATTACAACGACAATCAACTAGTCAAGTCTCCTCATATTTATGGGATGATATTTTCCAGACATATACTCACTTAAAACTTCATTATTATTCACAYCCTTAATTCAAAGTGGAAAGGCAACTACAGTGTTGTTTTTTTTGTTTTTTTTTTTTTAAGACAATCCAGGAAGTCCACTTATGCAAGTGACAAATAACACTTTAACACAGAATTAAACCCTGGCACTTCCATCAATAAGAGCAGTTTCAACTCACTGCCTGCAAGAAGCTTTCAGAYGCAAGTTTTTCAATTTTGATGATWACTGTAGGCATCAAGGTATAATTGCTTAGAAAATGATCATTCACCAGAGAACAGAAATAAACAAACATTATCCCAGAGCTCTTGTAAATTACGTAAAAATGAAACTGAAAGCCAGGTTTTTAGGGCAATCTTTGGTGTGAGCTAACACAAGTGTACTGTAAAATACYTAGTTCATAAGCTGCAGAACACCAGGGCTCAAGGGTAACACACAAGAAGTCAATAAATACAGCATTCTAAGCTGCTCACAGTACATCTACACAGTGATTTCAACTACATTTCTGAAATCAATTAAGCAGCTGATGCAAAAAATCTTCTCATGCCTAGCACCAGTAAATCAAATATTACTCTAAAAAGTTATGCTCTTATTTAAAAAGGCCTTGGAAAAACAAAGACTGAAATACATTAACRTTTTTTAAATAGTAAGAAAACATTTTGTCTTAATATTTTTGTTTAGTATCATCCATACAGAAGTTGCCGTTCACCTCCAATTATGTGATTTGCAAAACAAACAAAGCAGATGTGAATTAAAAACAATTTCAGTAAAATAACTCATCATTTTAATTCTATGGCAGCATATTGTGATCATCATACAGAAATCCATTGAGGATGATGATAAAGAAGTTATAAAGTGGACATTTATCACATTATTAATATTTGATAGTCATTATCTTGATTTTAGAGATTGWTACTCTCAATCTGATTAACAGCATCTTCTCCAGGAATTCCATTTGTTTTCAAACACCATAAGGAAAATTTGGCAAACCAACTTGCAAAATCAAAATGCAAATGTTCCTGGAACAGACACCAGCTTAGCTATAAATCTCATATACTAACTGCAGGAATACTGGTAGGCAGCAACTCATGTCATCTTACTGTAATGGGAAATAAAAACATAGCTGCCATTTCCTTAAATCTTTCTTGTGCATATATCCTCATAAAACACAGACTGTGCTGAGCAAGACTCTCGCACAGTTTTGCCGCAGAAGTTTTTCCCACTGTAGAACTGATTGAGCTCAAGTCACCAGTAATAGTATTATTAAATTATTATTTTCTGGGCAAAATGCTGCCAAAATATTTCAGTRTTATATTTTAACACTTAACAGTATTTACTAACCATTGACACACTCTGTATTTAGAATTTTAGTGATCTCACCAATCTGGTTTTTGTGTTTGTACAAAAACAAGACAAATTTGTTTTGKGTTAAGGTCACTGTTGTAACAGCGTTAGTTAAGGTCACTGTTAAGGTTTACTGCTGTAAACACCACAATATATTTTTRATTAACGTATTTTACAACTTTCAGGTTCTTAAGAAGCATACATACACACTACTTAATATTGCAGAATCTGTCATCTTACCAAGAACTGATGGATGCATGGCAAAAGCACCAGATCTGCCACAGTAAAATAAAGCCCTTCTGCAAAAACGTGGTCCAAGAGCGGAAGGTCAGASGTTTTAGTTCTCCTGATGTGAGGGGCCTCCCTGTTGACTGCATCTGATGCTTCCTGGGCAAGTAGCTTAGAGAAAGCTACACTCAGTTCCAAACTTGAGGGTGGATGTTCATGGACTTYCCCCGTTTTTGATTCTTCTGCTTCTTCTTCACCAAGCACAGGCACYGCAGCCTTGGCACCTGCCTTCTGTTGTTGAAGTTTTTGCCTTCGAATTTTGTCATCATTATGTACTCGGACAGGTTCTCCAAGCTTCCTTTCAAACAGTAAAATGTCAGGAGGAATAGCCTGGCAGTGCTCAGGCGAGGCTGTCAAAAATCTTTCAACAGCAAGAGGTATGCTGATCTCACAGAGTCTGGTCCACTGGCTAACCTGTCAAATAAATTYATGTAATTAATGTCTCTAGAGAACGAGAAATGAAACCCAGGGTAACTTTTCCTCCACCTTAAGCAAAGGAATTCCAGCTTTAAATACATTCTTTATTAATCTTTCAGATTTATTAATCTACAGATATTTCTGTATTTCTTTTGCAACAGCAGAGTTAGAAAGCTAAATCTTGTGTAAAAAAGAATTAACAGTTATCCAGTATAGCACATTTTTATTTCCTTACTATTGACATAAAATTAGAGTGGCTGCATAACTCCCAAGTAGCAAAGCTGTGAACTGAGTTGAAGACACAGTAAATGGCAACCATGGAAATAGCAATCATGACAGGGTGGAATTCAACCTCCTGAGAGGAGTGAGGAAGGCGAGTCTAGATGGATGAGCTGCCAGGTGAGGAAACTGCTATGAGATAAATGGGCTGAAATCTCAGCTCAAAGGGTAGTGTTGGTTAATGGTTCACACTCCACCTGAGGGCCAGTTAGAAGTGGAAATCTTTMAGCATCTATGCTGAGGCCTATCCCACTTGAACACCTTTACCTGGAGGGGAGAGATGGAATACACTCCCATCAAGGCTGATAGGGAATTGAGCAGAGCAGACAAAYTCCCAACAAACTCCAAGAAGAGCTGCTATTCACATGAGCCTGCACAGACTACAGAACGAGCTGAGAGGAACTGATGTGAAGTGCAACAGAATATTCCACACCTAGGAGGGACTAAAGCCCTGGAATGGTACAGGCTAGGGACTGATTACCTGGCCAGGTAGCCACTCTGCTGAAAAGACACCAGACAACCGGGGGAGGATCAGCAATGYACCTTGTCAGGGAAGGCTAACAATATATTGTGCTCTTGAAACCAAAATTAACAAGAAAGTAGGTATTTTGTAGTTTATTTCAAACTTTATAACTCATTTATACTGCTAGACATGAAACAAAGATCTGAACTATTTTTTTAATATTAAGGTTCTGTTTGTGCTGCTAAAAAGTAGTATCTTCAAAAATAATTATTTTTCATCTTAGTGTCAAAATACAGATACTTCTCCATAGAGGAAATTGTATTTTCTAAGCAAATAAGGTTTTTTACTAGAAGAACTTACTTGACATAAATATTAAGAGTCTACTTTAGAGCATTTAACGCTTATTAAAAAACCAATGAATGAATCTAAGAGAGACACACTCACTTCAGCACAGGCTTTTAAGCAGGTCTTCTTAAAGCCCAAGAGCTCCAAAACATCCTTTTTAGATGGATCTGCCTCAAATGTTTTCTGTATTATATGTCTTAAGACCACGGAAAGCCCAGCTCGGCAGAATCTGTCATCTTTCACAACAACAGCAGGTAAACTGCAGCTCTGCACAACCAATGGAAGCTGACACTTGGAGATTAAATGRACCTCAAGATCACCAGCGAGGTTTTTTGTCACACACTGATCACCCACATCTTCGCCAGTYGGCACTAAGAAAACTTTAAATAATTTGCAGTCACAGTACGATAGCAAAAACAGTGAGATAGATGTATGAAGAGGAAAGATACTATCTCCGTACTGATGAGAAAAAGCCAAATATAAATGTTCTTCAGTGACACTATCTTTCATCTTCTTCCTAAGATGAAGCTCCTGAAATGGAAATCAGAGTACAACATTCATAAAAGAATACAGAATTACAAAAAAAAAAACTAAATCACTGGTTCTTCTGCTATCCACTACAACTGATTTTAACATAAGACACTACTGAAGACATCCTGTCTGATTAACTAGCAGGCCCTTTTTTGAGAGGAAAAGTGGTTTCACATCTATACTGTCTCTTAACGTACATATCATGGATGGGAAAATGATCTGTGTAGGTTTTTTTTTTWACATTTTTTTACATTTTAGTGTATTTCTAACATCTAACAAAACCTAAAGAATATGTTTCAAGYGCATAAACTTTTTAGAGCAAGGCTATTTTTTTTACACAAAATCTCCCATAACATTAGCCATGTGTTACTGAAAACAAGTTCCTGAGCACGTACCTACAACAGTCAACCTACAACAGTACCTACAACAGTATTTCCCTAATACAAATATCTGTCCTTCTGTAACTGCTAAAAGGCATTTATAGCAGGTACGTAGGCCATGGGAAATAACACTCGTTTCTGTATTAAAAACCAATCTAGTTTAAAGCTGGGTAATATAATAACTGARAGACACATARGCAAATGAAGAYTCATCTCAYGATACTACATGAACACCTCAAACACACAGCTACTTTAAAGCAGTKGAATACAACAGTAGCAGAGCTGAAATTAGCATCTTCTCAATATATTAAAAACTCAGTTTTCCTCGCAGTGAGTTGAAAGCTACATTTTTCCTACTATAATAATTCACAGGAGTTTAACATAAGGCACTGATGCAGTAATTTTTCTGCTCCATCATTCAGCACAATTGCCTTACAGACGACGGCTGGCATTGAAAAGCCTTAGACACTAGATGGCCCTCTTACAACAAGCGTCACAGACCACAGCTCGAGTGCAGTGAGGAAAAGAAATTTAAATGTTGCTAAGGAAGGCCAGAATGGGCTTTTATATGCATATATATGAAGCACCAGTGACATTGCAACAGCATCAGTCTTTCACATAACCATCTAGATTAATAAGGGCTTTGCACAATTATATGAACATGATGTAAATATTTAAAAAGAAAAAAAAAAAGTTTTCATTTGATACATCTTCTTTATTCAATTTATTTTTTTCCATGTAGGCACATACATCCCACTTACTACTTTATATTACCTACCACAGGGCCAAATCAATTGCCCAAAAAGAGGCAGTGGAAGAATAAAATCAAGTCCACCTGGCATTAAGAACAGCTTAATGTCTGTTAAGAGTGAAATATTTTTAAACCATTACATGGCAAAAAGAGTGGCACTACTATGAATACTGTTGCTTTTCTTTAATTGATCACTGCAACACAAAAAAAACAGGACAAAACACAATGTAATACCTACTTTATCAGAAGATATTTTATTTGGATAAACCTTGACAGCATGGAAGTTGAGACAGGCTCAATATCCTAAGTACAGCTCTGTGGTAGAAATCATACAGTGAAGGCACTGCCAAAGAGGTAAATCAAGAAGAGTTACTCTTACCATAGTTACCAGCATTTAAACTCTTACTCTCAATGATAGCAGCTCTTTCAATATTAAACAGTACCCTTATATGCATTTGGGCTATTATTTTTGTTTTCCATGCAAACTCAGCTCACAAGTCCATCTTTTCCTGGCAACTCAAACATACACATTGACSTTACCAATCACTTCAACACTCAATTTTTTCTTCTGGTTGACCTTCCTGGATGCAATCATCTATTCTGGTCATAATCACGCTGTATAGAACTGTAAATATTTTGGTAAATTCTGACGAGGTTTCTACTTCCAAAGTATATTAGTCTGTACTTTCCAACCTATTCTTACCAATTATTTAAAAAAACTCCTTAGAAGTAATTTTAACAAAATGGGCTTCTGTAATGACTGAAACTCATTATGTAAGTCATTAGAATATCAAAGCATTCAATTATTTGAATTGCAAATTATTGCAAAAACTTCTTTGTTTATCCATCACAATAACTGAACATCTCACAGACTTTCCTCTCAAAGAGCCTTGCAAGGTTTCTTGTGTTCCTGTTATACATGTGAAAAAACAAAAGCAGAAAGAGAATTTTTAATTCGGTACCACATTGGAAGCCAGTCCTAGGGCAAGCCAGAAAATTGAACATTTTCCTTAAGGGCTTTGTTGTTTGGTTGGTTGTGAGATTTTGAGGGTTTTTTACGTCAGTCTATGACAACGAATACAACAACCAGGATAATTTTATTCTCCAGTCTCTCACAGAAACTAAATTAACCTGTCCAGGAGTTCCATCTGTAAGTGACTTTACCTGTGGCTCCTCATTGTCTCCTGTGAGAAAATAAGGCCTTCTTGAATCATCACTTCAACTGAGCCTTACACTGCCATACCCCACCCCTCTCCCATCTTTTATTTCAGAGAATTCCYCCCAACATCTTGCCTCTAAGCACTSACATTTATAAATTTGYTTCCTATATTTTYTGTTTCCAAGACAGGTAGTATTCCACACTGCTTTGGCTCTGCAGAGTCTATATTCCCTGTGGATTTATGCACGGATTTTCAGTTCAAAGACTTAACAGCCTACCTGGTTACCCATTTTCATTTAAATATTTTCACGTAACTACTACCTGTCCATTAAGTATGTTCATTAATCCCTTGGCAGCTTACTAAGGCAAAAACAGACACAGACATACACAACAAAATAAAACATGCAGTACAGAACTAACCAAACCTAAGAAGACATTGCACGATTTGCTCACTGTATTATTCCCAGCACTTTTTTCTCTAATGAGACAATAAATTCTGTGGGAAGAGAAGGATTTTTATTCTATTTGCCTTATTTACAGCAGCCACAGCTTGAGAGGGAAGGACTTGCACCGTAACTTAAAAGACTAAGACAAACAATGCTGCCTAGCCTTGGTACAAAACACACCTTGGTTACCTAAAAATTAAACACTATATAACTTTCACTASCTCATTATGTAAGTATAACTTCCACTAGCTGTGCTGGTTTTTTACCATTTTCTCTTCTGTTTCAACATGCACCAAACAACATTTAAATTAATTTCACTCAGCTGCCCTGTTAACAATRCAATAAAGAAAACCGCTGCTTTCAAGTATTTCCCATAAAAAATTAAAGACAAATCAATAAATACATAAACATCTTCTTCCTTTTAGTCTCTGAAAAAGATCTCATTCATTTGTTGATTACTACATGGTAAAACGGAACTTCTCGTTAAACAGACGCGTTAATATTTGAGAAGTGCTTAATAAAAAGTCATTTAAAGACGCAGCAAATATTCAACTTAGTGCAAAGTAATAKTTGTGCTTTAAGGCACAAAACTTGAAATAATTAAGTTATAGTTCTATCCAGACGATCCATTTGCCGGATGWGTTCAGGGCCACCCCTGCACCCCCGAGGGAGCCCTGAGGGAAGCACAGAAGAGCTTCGGACCCGAACTTCAGRAGGAGGCCATAAAGTGAAAATTGTGGACGGTTCTGGAGAGCAGAACACGGGCAGACCATGAGAGACAAACCCGGGCCATGAGGGGCAGACCCAGGAGTCGGGACGGCAGCGTAGTCCTGAGCTCGGCTTCTGCAGAGAGCGACATCGCCGAGCCACAACTCCCTCACAGAGCCGCTCCCTGAGGCCTCTGTTCCCAGCTCATCCCGCCGTCTCAGCAGCACTCCCAAACCAACCCCAGAGCTTTCCCCACCACCACCACCTTCCCTTCATCCCGCTCCTTTTCCTTACCCCGGCCCGGCCGCTTCCGCCCCGGCTCCGCCCTTTCCTGCGCGGGCCCCGCCCCGGGCCCAACGCGCCGCCCGGAACTGCCGCCCGCGGCCCGCGCTGCGCGGGGGGATCGCTGTGGCGGCGCACCCGCCGGGGCGCCCTCCTCCTCCGCCTCCTCGGTCCCCTCTCCGGTGAGACAGCAGCGTGAGGGTCTGCGGGGCCTGGAAAAGGGGCTTGGGAGGAGGAACAGAGCATTGGGAAGAGGGAATTTGGGGGTTGGGAGAGGGAAGGGGGAAGGGAGAGGGCGATTGGGAGGAGGAAAAAGGAGATTGGGAGGAAGAGGGAAATTGAGAGAGGGTACAGGGGGTTTGGAAACGGGAAGAGGGAATTTGGGGGTTCTGAGGAGCAGAAGGGTTTGGGAGGAGGGGAGGAAAAAGGATTTAGGAGGAGGAAAAGGGGGTTTAGGAGGAGGGAGGAAGAGGGAATTTGGGGGTTGGGAGGGGCAGGAGGGTTAGGGAGGAGGGGAGGAAAAGGGATTTAGGAAGAGAAAAAGGGGGTTTAGGAGGAGGGAGGAAGAGGGAGATTGGGAGGGGTAGAGAGGCTTGGGAGGAGGAAGAGGGGTCTGGGGAAGAGAAGAAAGGAGTTAGGAGGGAGGAAGAAGGGGTTTGGGAGAAGGAAGGGGGGATGGGAGAGAACAGTAAGTTTGGGTGGGAGAAATAGGGTGTTTGGCAGTAGGGAAGAAGAGGGGAGCCCTCAGGCACCGTGGCGGCTCGAACCCTCGGTCCCGGGTGAGCTTTGGGTCTCCTGTGGTGCTGGAAGGGCCCGGGAGCAGCGGCGGCTGCACTGTCCCTGTGGGACACCATGGTGCCAAGGGATGCTCCCTCCTGGGCACTCGGGCACGCCCCGAGTCAGTGGAAAAATCCATGCGGGGCAGTGATGGTGTAGGAGGGTGGTATTTTATTCTTTTAAGCATTTGAAAGTGATGCTTTCAGTTGAGAGGTGTTTCCTTCGTTCTTAGAAAGAAATCCCAGGGAGAAATTTGCAGTAAGTAGGTTGCAGAGGGTCATGTCGTGGCTTTGGTGAAGCTATTTGAGAAATTCGGTTTTAACTAAAATTGCTTCTCTCCCTGAGAAATTGYCAGGAGGATGATACCCTGGAATTTGTACACTTGATAAGTTTCAGCAGACACTTAATAAGGGAAAGGTGAAAACAGTAGTGGAGGTGTACCCCATTTACCAGTGGCTKAAGCCAATGAGCAGTGATGTATTAAAACATCTTCAGGTCCATTTTCAGCAGAATATTGAAGCTTAGTGGTAGCAGGGCTGAGCAAACCTCAGTTGTACAGGTACAATTATCACAGAATTATCAGAGAGTTAAAAGGAACCCACAAGGATCGTGCCATTTATCAGGAAAAGGATTCACAAGGAAAATACTGCACCACTGCTGAGTGGAACAAATGTGTTAGTGACAGCAGACAGAGATAAGGGTGAAATAGTTGATGTCTTCTTTGCCACAGACTTGACCTGAAAGGTTTCCAAGGCCTTTTGCCACAAGTCAGAGTTCAAGCAGAGGAGGAACTACAAGTTGTGGCAGAAGATTGAATTAGGATTGTTTCGCTGATAAGTCCATGAGCCCAGTTGACCTTCATTCAAGGGTGCCAAGAGGTGACAGAGTCTTCACAAGGCTGCTTTCTGTCGTCTTTTAAAGGCTGTGAGATTGGGAGACATCCCAAAGACTGGAGAAAGGCAAATCTTGTGCTCATCTTCAAAAAGGGCAAGAAGGACAAATGAGAACTACAGCCTGGTCAACCTCATTCCTTCCTTCTSTGGCAGGATCATGGAGAAAGCGATTTGTAGGCAAAAGAAGGAGCAGATGGAGACTGGGAAGAGCCAGATCTACCAACTATGAATCATGCCTGATCATTTGGCTTTTCCTCAGTGACTAAATAAGCAGACCTGAAGATGGAGGGAGTGCTGGATACCATCTGCTGTGGGCTTARGGGGATGTAATAAAAGCTTTTATTTACCTAAGGATATTATTGGAAAGATACAGCCAGTCTTTGTACTCTGATGCACAGTGGGAGAATGAGAGACAGCATAAGCTAGAACCTYCAATGCAAAGCAAGGAAATGAGGACAGTGAGGCATTGGGACACATTGCCCAGAAGGATTTTCACATTGCCATCTTTGGAGATTTTCAGTTTCCAACTGGAAAAGTCCTGGGCACACTGGTCTGAATTCAGTGTTGACTTTGCATTGAACAGGAGGTTGCACAGAGTGACCATATGGGGTCCATTCTACAAGGAATGATCCTGTGGTTGTTAAATAATGCACTGTTTCTGTGGACAAAACAGCAAATATAGGGCAGTAGTGTAATCTTTAAAATTTTGAATAAACTGGTTACAGTGATGTTGATTGGAATACTAATTTTAAAGTACATTAAAAAATATGTTGTAGAATAGAATGTAAAATTAAGGATGTCAGTACTAGTAACTCCATAGCAGGARATCTTACTCATGTTTTAGAAGATTCTTTGTAGAAGATGGCAAATAAATTAGAACTGATTAATACAATTGTTCTGATTAATACAGTTATCCAGACTTCTGAAGTGTGTGAGTTTTGAAATGTCCCTTGTGGAAAGTAACTGAGAAATTATGCTGTCATAAATCAAGTCCTGATTAATATACTAAAGCAAAAACTGAAAATAGAMGTTCATTTTCCCTGCTTTTAAGATTTCCCTTGATCTACTTTCTCAAGACTTTCATTAGATCTGAAAGTGACCTGGAAAAGTCATTACTGATAAATAAGCAAAATATGCCACTGTCACTGTTAATAGATATAGTCAGGAAGAGAGTAAATTCTGAGGAACAGAAGGATCCAAATGGACAGGGGAAAGTGAATTTGTAAGTCTTAAATTGGAAGAGCACATATTCTGTAGAGTGCAYAGTTAGGGTTATTCGTATTTAGCAGAAGACAATAGTATACTCAAGAAAAGAAAGAATCCAAAACTTCTTAGGTGTTTTAAGAACAACAACCCACTGATTAACATCTGTGTTTCCCCATGGATTTAAACCACTTAGAATAGTCCACATTGGGAGCTACAGAGACCTAAGCTGAGAAAGTTGCTTTTAGGGTTAGGCTGATGGGTGAATGCTGAGGTTGTGCTTGCTTAGTGCAAAACCAGTTCTGTGCTGGGTTCAAGGATTTTCACACAGCCCTCTGATCTCACAGCTGCATTATCAAACTGCAGCAGAAAAGACAGTGTCATACTCTTCTTTTTCATAAAYAGCATTTGTATTATTTTCTGTACAAAGATTCTGCTTCAAGAAGAAAGTCAAAAGGTCTGTCATTCAGAATAACCAAAGGCATCATCATTAGAACACTGCTGTCCTTGTCTCAAGGTTATCACATTGCTGTATGCTGACTTGASTGCCAGAGGTGCAGTTTGTGAATGAAAACATGAATGAATGTAATTGGATCTTAGGTCTGTAAGTGTCAAACTATTGTTCAGTACTTAAAAACTGTTTGATCTCTAAATATCTGGAAAGGGCCAAAAGCAATAATTTGCCTTTTGGACCAGGACAGCTATTGGTAGTACCCTGTTTGACAGCTATGTTATTATGGTCCCATATAAGGGGAGTGTAATTATCAATTTGCTCTTTTCAGATTATGCTATTTTTAAGACAGCTGTTGATGTGTCCATTGAATATACTTCCTTTCTGTAACTCACAAATAGATTTTTTTAGATTTGAAAATACAGGCCTGAACTGAGCATACTTGAACTGTTTACTAAGCCCAGTTTCCTGTCTTCTCATGAGAAATTTCTTGTGATAGTTGTAMCCGTAGTAGCCTGTGACATTATAATTACTCTGAAAAACAGAGAAAGAATTGCTGCAATTGCATAGCAAATAAAAGAATTAATATGGAGAACCCTTTTGAAATTTGGGGTTTAACAATTCCTTTCAACATATGTCTTTAAAAAGCGATAGCTAGAAACAAATCTGGGAAGGGTTGCCTTCAGAGAGATGAATATTTAGTTATGTTTACACTTGTTCTCTAAATATTAGATAATGTCTGTGAATGGCTGTTGAGGCTGCCTGTTTTTTATGTACACAAGTATATATTCCTAGTATAATTCCTCTCTCCCTCAGAGAAGAACTTAAAAGATTTTTTTTTAACAGGGAGTTCTACTAGAGTTCTGAAATTAGTGTTTCARTTCTCCGCTAAACAGAGGGTTTAGCAGAGTCCTAGTTTAAGAGTATATGGTACTGATACTTGTTCACAGGACAAAGAAGTGTGGGACATAACCTACCACAGATTTCAAGAGCAGCCTGAACATTTATCAGAAGTAGATGCATAAAAAAAAGAGGGTATGTGCTTTCCATGCTCTCTGAATTCACTTTTTGTAATCATCAGAGAGACACCGAATTGCCTGGATGGGGCTTGCTCTGCAGTCTGTGCTTGATCAGTGATACAGCCGAGTAACTGGTGTGTGGCACTTCCTAGCAGAAGTTCTGTTGCCACCAGAAAATGATTTGTCAAGCAGCAAAGATTAAGGAAGAGAGAAGAGATTCTTGAAGAGGTTTCTTAACTCTCTGCWGGGTCCATTGATGAAATCCCTATGAAGTTCTGTATGTTGAACTCCTTGATGATCTCAGTCAAACGATTCTCTGGTGTCTCGTGAAAGCTCAGCATGAGATAAAGGTTCCTGGGGACTTTTAGGCAAGTGTTGAAGGAGCAGCTGCTGCTGCTGGTGTTTTGGCCAGAGAGGTAAAAGTTCACTRCCATGAATATCAAAAGGAATTCATCAGACAAAACCTTGGAGGCTTCAGCTGACAAAGCTGTCCAGGCAACGCTTTTGAGCAGATCTGATGAAAGGCTTTATTAAGAATGTCTTCTAGATTATTCTAGAAAAAAATCCCAAACCAAYAAACAACCTGATGTGTTTTAAATGAGACTGAAAGGAATTATTAACAATAATGCTTCTCATACATTTTTGGAAAATATCAGGAAACCTCCCATGTTATTTCTTAAATTATTGTTATTTAGTGCTTTAGGTTAGATATCTATCTTTGAAAGTATAGCTTCTGATATAAATGCAGTTCCTTAGAGTTTTTTTTAAGGAAATTAACACAGACTGTTCCAGAGTGCAGGAATTTATTGCTATGAGGCAAACATTTTTTTCAAACGTTGTAACCTTTTCCTCAGTTTATTCCATGGACATTGTGGCATCTCAGAGCTCTAGATAGTCATTATTTGACATTAAAACTTAGACTGTTACATGAAGACATGGATAAGTCACAATCTGAGTTATAACTTTTTCTCTGTTTCAACTAAATTTAAATATTTATTTTTTAGATGTTTTGTACATATAAAATAATACACTAGCTGTTTATATCTCATATGTTACAATGAGGTGTTGTTTTCAGAAGTTTCAAAAGTTAATTTTTCTACAAGCAAGATTTTTCTTAGTTACTCTTAAATGAGCAATGAATTCGAAATCACTGTATGTGCAAAAAGTGTTAAGGAGAATGGTGGTAATTGCTTTTCTTGAAGTTAATATTTCTTTTGCATACTTTTCAATATTCTTTATGTATGGAATACAAAGAATATGAGATATCTGTTTCATTTACATAAGTATGATGAGTTTAGTTTCTGAATATTATGTATACCGTATAATGAATTTGACATTTCACATGTCCAGTCAAATKCAAGTCAAACTGCAGCACTGAAAYTCAGTCTTCTTCTAATGATAATTAATTCACATATAATCCTTGCTATGATTTAAYATAATTYCATTTTWAAAAGRAAARAATGTTCTATTAGCMACATGCTGTTTGAATTATGCTTCATGTGAATAAAGTTGTTTTTGCTTTTCTTTTCTTTTAACTTGCTTTGAAGACACCACTATGGCTGCTACAGTGAACTTGGAGCTGGATCCCATTTTTCTGAAAGCCCTGGGCTTTTTGCACTCAAAGAGCAAAGACTCTGCTGAAAAGCTGAAAGCACTTCTTGACGAGTCATTGGCCAGAGGAACTGACTCGAGCTATCGTCCYTCTCAGAAGGTACTGGTGTTGGAAAGCATGGGTCTTTTTGGCATAAAGTTCCTGCTATTCCTGGTTCTTCTTTCATAGCTGAAAAGGTTAAAGAGAATCAGAATTTGAGGAAATAGAAGTAGTTATGGAATGTACGTATTCATCGTTCCCCTTTTCCTATGACATAATCCATTCAATTAATGGAWGTTAATGGAAAAAAATCTCTTCACCTTGTTGCTGCACCAAGGTTTTTATAAGAGGTATTCAACATTGTTTCAGACATGCTGTGTAAGGTGCATCCAATTTTACATATTTCTGCAGTTACATTTTAGAKTTAAAAGGTCTTTAAAATATAGATTAGTTTTGCCACAGATAAATATGAAACAAAATAAGCTATTTACCAATAAAACTATTATTTCTTTCCTTGAAATTCTGTTGATGAAGTCATATGAGCAAAACACCAAATGGTCCAAAGCAGAAATTATTTGCAAGCTGAAACCATTGCTGTCCAATGGGCAAACATCGTTTTTCTCGTCTACTGCAAATCACTGAACACCTGCTAGAGAGAAGATTTGAATGTGAGATGAATGTRTGGAAATAACCAAGCAGGGACATCCTGGTGCTGCTGTGTATTGCCATATGGATAAYGAGGTTCTGTTCTCCCCTAGGATGCCTACAAGTCAGCCTGGTGTGTTCTAATGATGGTCTGTGTGCTGATACATTTGTATTATTTCATTTCTACATGGTTTCAAATACCTAAAAGGCTGCCTCAGCATACATCATAATTTTCTATGTGGTCTAACTCCTTTCTGTTCATCTTATTAACTCTCTGAAACCTAACACAGGTCTCAAAACTCTAAGGTGCCCTTTATGTCAGAGCTCAAAGAAGCAATGTGTGGTTTAAAGAGGAAGCAGAGGGCAGAATAACAGTGCAAAGAGGTTTGGGAAGCCAACTCTAATAGCTTGGCTGGCAGACACCTGCCCTCAGGTGAAACTGCGGCTTGGGCCAGAGGAAGAAATCTTTTGTTCTCCTCTTTTCGGTTTATCTCCACTATCACCAGGGACTTCAAAGGTCAGAAATGGAAAAAAGTACAAGAAWTCATTTTCTTGCATCCTCAGGCTGCAGGATTAATTTGTGATTGACCATGAAATACAAGAACAGAGTAGGGGGCACCAGATTACCACACTCAAGTCAACAAACTTTGGAGGGCTGAAGCTCAGTCCTTAGGACCTGTCCTAGTATACAGCAGAGAATTGCTCCCATCTTACCAGCTGGGAAGGGGTACCTTGCTTGTCCCCATCATTGTGATTGGTCACTCATTTACAGACTCKCTTGGTCATTATCCATTGCTGACACTGATGTGTCATTAATGAGAACTATTGATTTCTGCTGAGATCTAAATACATTAATCTGATAGACGAATATGGACTGAGATTAAGAGGAAGTCAATATTTCTCTCCATGAAGGAATGAAATATTGATGTCTGGTTACATCAGATGTCAGCTTATGTTTTTAGCTTATATTGAATTTTGTCTTCAGAACCATCTGAAAGTTTATGTTCATCATCTCTTTGAATTTTAAAAGCAGAAATGTCACCTTTTTAATTAATGTTCCAAAGAGGATCTGTCTTTGGAAAAGGAGCRCCTTTTCCTCAGAAAGGTGAGTGGTGAGGGGAGATTTTATTAATTGTCTGCAACTTGAACACAGTAATTTGTCTATGTGATGTGAAAATATTTTAAGAAATATTTTATAAAGTGTATATGTAGATGATCAGTGTTATATGGTATATTGTTTGCCTATCCTGTTATTTCTCTAATTACAAATTAGGCAGGAACTCAGTTGCAGAGTTTGGCTTCAGTTTTTGTTTCTGTTTTTAGGAAGTAGAACAACCAAAAGTATCTGTTACCAAACCTATTAAGCAAGAGCCTAAAGCTTCATCCAGTTTACCTTCTGGCAACAACAATGGCAAGCCCACTGCATCAGAAAAAGTGAAAAAAGAAACAGAAAAGAGATCTGCAGATAAAGTAAGTAATTTTTGTTCTCTAATGAAATGACTTGGTTAATCAACTTAAAAGTGTTTTAGACAAAAGCACCCSTTTTCAATTCATTCTATGGTGCCTAGCCTTTAGTCATGTTGCCATTTAGGCAGTCTAACAAATGTCTTCCTATAATTACCCTGTGATTGTTTTCTCTGCTCTTGTGGGGAGGTTGCACTTAAGAGGTTCCTTCCAAACCATTCTGTGTTTTAAATCATCTGGAWAATAAGAGATTACTAAGATGTAAGCAATCTGAAATTTGGTGTTCCCAAGGCTTTTTCCAGGATTTGGAGATGAAGTACAAAGAGTRGACTTGAGCTTCTAGTTCATAAATATTTTAAAGAAAACGTGTAATTAAAGAAAACATGTTGTGTGTATGCTGTGTAAAGTACACCTTCTTATACTGCTAATCTACCTATTCTACATTTTAGCTCATTTTAATAATCTGTTAGTTTTTTGCATTTTCACATTCTCTGTGTGTGTGTTTAATAGACAAAAGGGGATCCTGCTGAAGGAGCWGATGCACCAAAGAAGCCCAGAGTAGAGAAGCAAGAGGCTCGTTCCTCTCCTATTACAGTTCAGACGAGCAAGGATTTATCCATGCCTGATTTATCTAGCTTTGAGGAAACCAGTGCTGATGACTTTGCTATGGAAATGGGATTAGCCTGTGTTGTTTGCAGGTAAGTCAACATTGCTTCCTTGCAGAAATGTGTAGTTACCGTTTTTTAGATTGTGTCTCCTTAAGTTAATGCTTCTCATGGTTTTTATTCAGGAAAATGCTTAAGCACATATCCAGAACTCATAACAGATTTAAGCCTCTTTCATGAAAAAGAATGGTTTCTTGAAAATGGAGCTTTAGAGAGTGAACCACCTTTTCTTCAGCAGGAAAGGGCTAGTGRAAAATAAAACTAGATATGCAAAACCTATAATGACACATACCAGTTTTTATTTATTGGAAAACAGGTTAAAATATTAATGGCTAGTGATAAGCATTTTTRAACAATCAGTTCTCATCTGAAAGCACTTTTAAGTGACATTAGTGTGAGATCTGTATGTGTTGCTCTTCCTAATAATTTGACATTAGTTAACACATAGCCRTGTTTTTTCTGTACATATATCTTGCAGTGAAGGCAGGAAGTTTTTACATTCCAGTAAAGGCTCTAAAATTGGATTTTAATAATAAGGTACTAGCAGTACATTTAGTGTTAACARAAGTATAAAATACACTTTCAAATAACTACTCTAGGAGCAAATCACTCACATCAGGATTTGGTTTCACAGATTATTTATATCCTTGTTAGCCCCACTGCTGCCAAAAGGAACAGTTTGGCTCTCCCGATTGTACCTCCTTCCCTGGACTGTTTAGAGGGGTGTATTGCCAGTACAGTTTGTGATCAGCTGAATCAGCTCCTGGATCAGCTCTCCACTGGGGTTTTTCAGTAGATTTGGGTTTCAGGCAGCTCAGTCAGAGTAAATACTTATGCTAACACGTGTGTGGATGCAGGAATGTGGAGCTGGGACAGGGAAGAGGGTGGGACAGGCCTTTGGATAGCACTTTGTATTTTAGCTCAGCTTGAGTCAGTTGGGAAATGGTGCTTTATAACTTTGCCCTTCCATCATTTCCACTGTCATTCCTGTTGTGCAGATAGGGAGGTGTTGCCAGTGCATGGGGGATAAATTTCTGTAGTTACAGCTGATTATAATGGTGATCAGTTGAGGACTGATGAGATTTCATGTTATTCCCATGTATTAGCKCAAGTATTTAGTTTCATATTGTAGGCATTGAAAAAGGAAGAAGTAAATAAATATCTGAACTTTACCTCTTTTCCTGTAAATTCTGTTTTTGCTGTCTCCTAAAAGAGGCAGAGCACTATTCAGTGGTATGTTAAAATGCTACTGAAAATAGTAAGGTATTAACTTATTTGGCAGGAGGGGATAACGAAGTTTTGTTGTCTAAACACAAAGTCTTGACCTGCTGTGGATGATTAATTCTGTGTCTTCCCTGGCAAAGAAAAACACTGGCATAAAGAGAAATGCCTGCAAATTAAAGAAACTAAAAAAAGAAAAATGCAACTATATGCCCAGTGTAGCCCAGACTTTGAAATGCACAGGCCAGGTACGTGGTTCCATTAGCTGTTCCACAATGGTTAGCCTGGATGCTGAAGACATTGYTTCTGTCTGTTCATGGTCACCAATTTGAATGTTCTTGCAAAAGATGTATCTACCCTGGCTAACTAAAATATCTCTGATGCCAGACAGAGGGAGAAGCACTGTATGGGAAGAAACAACTCATCAGAGGGAGGGTGGCAACAGTCATCCCAACACTCAGAATAGTTTTCATTTTACATGGAACCTGCTGAAACTGATGCCACATGATTCTCCAGCTCATGCTGGACTGGATGTTTTTCAGAGGACTTGTGCTTTGAAGTTTTGAATCCAGCACATTGGTCAGACAGTATCCCTCTATTTATTTCTTGTTTTCAAAATGTGCACCCTTTTTGGGATAATCATCTTGAGCCAAAACAATAACATAGCTGTACATTTTTTAAAATGCATCCTTTAGCAGCCCAATCAATTGTGAATGAAAACATGTCAAATTGCAGAGTAGGTGGAGTTCGTAGCTGTAAGTTCTCAAATCCAAAAACATTCATTTGAATATTAACTATTCCTTTTTATAGATGTTAAAACTAAAGCAGAGGCATGAAATGTTTCTTCAAGATTTGCCAAGTGTCACATGTATTTCACAGTGATTAGGAGTAATTAATGTTGATGCTTGTGGTGTTTTTCTTCTTGTTCTTTTATATCAAGTTAGTTGTTCTTTTATACTAAGTTAGGCATAAGGAGGAAGGGAGTATTGAAATAACTTCATCCCCTGCAGTACCTGTAGGCCTTGGAAAAGCAGGACAACTCACCAGTTATGGTGGCTACTCACTGGCTCCTCAGTTGTACAAAGAGGAAATACTACATGCAGTTTATAAATTATAGTGAAGTTTTCATCCCAAAAAAATGTTTTTGAAAGATTGATTTGGAAATAGCAACCTAATTTTCTATGAATACTTCTTCGTTTTTAGAAGGTRGAAAATAATTAGGTTTGTTTCTTAGGTATCTTATAATTTAAAAGTAAGTGGTTTAACTTGTTTCTAAGCATGAAGAATTCATGGGTTTTTAATCAGTCTGGGATTGTTTTTTGTAATTTTAAAATAGGGTGAGTCTCCCTTCTTGAGACTATCCAGTTTATTTAGGAATAAAAACCAAAAAAAATGTCTTTTAAATATCTGACAGATAAAATAGTGGACTCTAGAATGTCAGAAAGGTTTCTCCTTCTGTTTTTAAGTAGCCTGTTTAAAAGAGAAATCTTTCTCAGAAAATGTTCCGGTACGTATATGGACAACACTTTCAGACTTTGTTTTTCTGTTATATAAAGAAATGAGGGATTACCTTTCCCCACGTATCTACAAATAGAGTTTCCATGGTTACCTAGGTACCTGCTCCTCGGGGATATGAGCAAAAGCAGCTTAGCAATTAAATAGCTTGATTTGTCATCTGAAAGAAGRAATCGTTAGGAAAATGGTATTTGGGTAATTCACAGGCAGACTCCCAGCCATGTATATATCACTAATGTGTCATTTATACAGCGTGATTACTTTCTGCTATGCCCACGCAAAATGAAGCCCTCATCACCGGCTTGCATGTTTGCTTCAAGGCGGGACTGCACAATTAATCCTTTCTATTCCATCTCTCTGTGATTCTGGTATTATCTCGAATTCCACGTGTCTGTTTATGTAGCAGGGACCAAAGGGATGGCTAATAAAACATCTTCAAAGTAGCAYAGAGCTTGGGTGATGGTGCTTTTAAATCCTGGAGCAGAAAGCACTCCTGCAGGCTTGTYATTGAGAAATTATTTGTTCTTGAACTGTATTGCTCTGCAGCTGACAGCAAAATTACCCAAATGGATCTAGGCCTTCATATGCTAATATAACGAGGAAGTCATAATTGGCATACAGTGATGTATCCATCAAATGCCCAGGTGAACCAAAGTGGGAAAGACTTACATTTCTAATCTAAAAATCAAACAGGAATCAAGACTATCATATACACATGTTTAATGGTATGGAAGTCTTAGAATTTCTTGAAAGAAATTACTTTTAAAAATACCAAATTTCTAAAATATTAGTTAGGAGGAACTGATACAGAAAGAAAAGGAATACATTTAATTTGCCACAGGTAGAAAATATATGTGAAAGCAAAAATATTTATATTTTTTGTCTTAAGCCTTGCAAAATTTTCAACAATTGGATAATCCACTAAGTGCTTTCTCCCATAATCTGTTCTTAACTATTTGCTCTGCAGGCAAATGACAGTTACTTTTGTGAATCAGCTAGTGGAGTGTCAGGAGTGCCATAATCTCTACCACCAGGATTGCCATAAACCTCAGGTGACAGACAAGGAAGTGAATGATCCTCGACTTGTCTGGTATTGTGCCCGCTGTACCAGGCAGATGAAGAGAATGGTAGGAGTCAGTTTTTTGTCTCGTGTGAGCACTGTTTGACTGCAGCAGGCTATTTCTGCTGTCTGAGAGTATTTCCTGGGTTGGACAAGTCCTAGGAAGCATATTGGAAAACCGTTTTTCTCAGCAGTGCTTCCCTTCCTGCAGCTGCGGTTTTTAATGTAGTATCTCAGAGAGTACTCTTTAATGTGCTTCTTAAACAAAGCTTTTTAAAATCACAAGGTGAGTGAAGAAGAGTGAAATAGGATTATTTCCTACCTGGCAAGCAGCAGTTAAAACYTTTTTTTTAATTTCAGGTGATACTCAGCTTTTAGTAATAGCCCTACAGTTTTAGTTTTTTTCTCAGCTTTGGATATGAATGGTTCTTTTTTTGTAGGACAAGACTGCAAATTTCAGTCCAGATCTTAAGTGTTGAATGTCCTCAGGGTCAAAAATAAGCTGAGGGTAGCACATTCTAGTTTAAAAAAAAGTAAAAGGCAAAAAGCCTTCATTTTGATTGATCTGCATGATTGAACAGGATCCTACCAGAATCCCACTCATCTCATTATGAGAAACAAACATAAGAGAGGATCTTTGGGTGTATGCAGCATTAGTGACTTTAGTTTTGTTGTTTTAAAATCACACCCTTTTATACAGCTGAAAATGTGTTTTGAAACTGTTCTGTGATAACTTAGCAAGTGTTATTTGTTGAAATGGCTCCACTAAGRAACAGGAAAAGAAGGCAAAGTAAGATCTTGGCTTAGGATGTACCAATATTGACTGAAATGCATGATTATTCTGGTGATCATCAGACCTTTAAATTTATAGGAGTGTTTGCTTGATGTCAGTTCATGCACAGGGTGATCAGTGTAGCCACTGAGCAGTTGCATCAATATGACCTTTCCTTTTTTGTTTTGGCATGAATTGTGCCATTTTGCCTGCCACTTCTTAGCAGGCCCTTGCAGCCTKCATCCCACTACTGCTGGACTGTGTCCTTGTCCTCTGCAAGTTCACCTGTCTTTGCCTTATTCCTGTAAAGGCCCAGTGCTTTCCTGTGCTCCAGGCGTCAACACTGCCATTCTTTTCACGCTGAAATAGCAAGTTCCATTCAGGATGCTTTTTGGCTGGACCCTGTCTCTAGTACCATACCAGCAGTAYCTCCACAGCCCTTATGGCCTCATTTCTCAGGGACCATTAAACTTGAAATTGTAAAGGCTAGATTGYAATCTTAAAATGCTCGTGCTTTTTGTCAACAGTCAAAACAGTCCATGTTATGTGGTCCGTAACTAATTGGGGGTGTTTTTTCCTACCACTTACGCAGGCTCAGAAGACACAAAAACCACCTCAAAAACCAGCTCCTGCAGTGGTTTCAGTTGCACCAGCTTTGAAGGATCCATTGGTCAAGAAACCAGAAATCAAATTAAAACCTGAGACYCCACCAGCTTTTCTAGCATTCAAGAGAACAGAAGTCAAGGTAATGTAGTTTAAATTTACCAGAGGAAGAGATTATGTTTCACTGCATAGATAATAGGATTTTTTCAATTAGACCAATATTTTCACACAAGAACTGTAAGTGAAAATAGTCTGCTGCACCATGTGGACTGAGTAGTAGCTTGGTGGATTTTCATAAACACTGAAAGAMTGGGGGRRAAACCTCACTTCACCTGCAATTCCSTAAAACATCCAGCYCTTGACTGTATTTTTATGTTAYGAGGGAAAGAGCAGAGAAAGAACARTATGTGGATTGTTTTAATGATACTTTATACATGTAGCAATCTATATAAATGTGCAATTGCAGCCCAGAAGTTTGGCCRTGTCTTGGGCTGCATGGCCAAGCAAGAAGCAAGGCCAGCAGGTTAAGGGAAGTGATTCTGCCCTTYACTCTGCTTTCATGAGCCCCARTCTGGAGTGAGGCTGTGTCCASCTCTGGGGTCCTCAGCACAGGARAGACATGGACCTGYTAGAGCAGATCYAGGGGAGACCRCAATGGAGCTGGAGAGGGATGGAGCACYTCTCCCATGAAAACAGACTGRGATGGCTGAGGTTGYTCAGCCTKGAGAAGAGAAGGCTCCAYGCAGCCTTTCAGCACCTAAAATGGACCCACAAGAACTCTGAAGAGGGACTTTTCACAAGGRCATGTAGGGATAGGATAWGGGGGAATGGCTTTAWACTGGAAGAGCARAAGTTTAGATTAGATATTAGGAAGAAATTCTTTACTGTGAGGGGGTGGAGCCCWGGAACTGATTGCCCACAAAAGCTGGARGTGTTTRAGGCCAGGCTGGATGGGGTTCTGAGCAACCCRGTCTAGTGGAAGGTGTCCCTRCCTGAAAGAAGACAGTTTAGATACTGCTACTTTTACAATAAGACTGTAATAAATGCAATACTTAATTGCTCAATGTCTGATTTCTGTCTGAGCATCTGTCAGCTTGTTAAAAAGTGACACCAGGTAAAAACAGTAAACAAATAAAAAGGAAGTGAAACCACCAGCTTTTATATAGTTCACAAATTTGGGCTTTTATTGAGGGATCACAGTGCCATGTGGTAGCCTGCTAACTGTACAGAAGAAAGGGGAGAAAAGGTATTACTTGTTCTATGTGCCTGGGAGATGGCTGCACCTGGCGTCCTTTCCTGTTCTTGTTAGTACTTTCCGGCTGTGGTGACCAGTGATGAAATACTGTCCACTCGGTGTTCCTGAGAAAAGAACTGAAACACAAGTTCAGTGTATTCCTGCTGTGATGTGTTACACAAATAGATGCTGCTATAATAAGAATGTTTTATTTATTTTAGACCTCAGCAGCAGTTTCGGGGAACTCTGCCAGTACAAGTGTTTCCTCTTCAGCAACGAGTGGCCTTACAGGATGGGCTGCTTTTGCAGCCAAAACCTCCTCTGCCAACCCATCAACTGCCAAACTGGGATCGACAGCACAGAGTGCCAGCGGGAAACCTGCAGCTTCCTCAAATAACCAGAAACCCGTGGGTTTGTCAGGGCTGGCGACTTCAAAAACGGGACTGGGGTCAAAAATATCTTCTGCCAACAACAGCACAAACCCCGTTCAGCTGAAGCCTCCCCCGCCGCTGACCCTGGGGAAGACRACGCTGAGCCGCTCGGTGAGCAGTGACAATGTGAGCAAGGCGGGGCTGCCCAGCCCCGGCAGTGCCGCTCCCAGCACCAGCAGCCAGGGCGGCGGGAACGGCAGCAGCGGCTCCGCGGGGAACAGCGCCGGCAGCGCCGGCAAAGCTGCCGCAGACACCGGCAATCAGTCAGCATCCCTGAAGGGCCCAACCTCTCAGGAGTCCCAGCTCAACGCCATGAAAAGGCTGCAAATGGTCAAGAAGAAGGCTGCTCARAAGAAACTCAAGAAGTAGGCTGGCTGCGTGCTGATTTTCTTGGTTGTGTTCTGTGAAAGAGCAGCWTCGCTGTTTTTTGTAAAGAAAATACCCCAGGTACTGGACTGAAAGAGGTTAAATCAGGGAAGCCCAAAACCTGTGTTACACAGGAGGTCTAACTTTAATAATTCTGATATTCCTTCTGCCTTTACAAATCTGTGAATTGAGTACATTAGAGGAATTCATTATTACATGCTCCTGGTTTTGTAGCTCAAAGCACTGAAACTTGAAATCATAAAAGTTGGGTATTTTTTAATATTGAAACCCCCACATTTGTGTGGATACTTAATGAATTGAACTTTCTGAAACTGTCATTCTTAAATGTTAATAATAAAAAGGATTATTAATCTGAAAAGTGATTGCCACTCCTCTTTTACCCCATATTGTAATACTTAAAATGCTTCAGATGTTCAGAGTTGTACAGAGCTAATTATCTCAAATTATAAAGCTTGTTAGGGAAAAATATTTTTCTTTTAATTTCAAAAATTAACTGTTCAACAACAGTGTATTTAAATTGAGATTTTTGGTTTGGCAGTTTGGTAAATTGGCCTATTTTGGTTTTATACCGTGAGAAACTTAATCTAAAAAGAACATAAGAGAGTCAAAACTGCTTTCAAGGTTCCTTAGAATGTAGAGAACCACCCTGTATTTGAAAAGTGTAAGGTACTCCAGCTCTCCATCCATACCCCTGAGCTGCTCTTCATGGTTTGTGCTCCCTCTATTCATTCCAGCTGCTCCAGGGGTCGTTGCTGTGTTCAGCTAAGAATTGGCTCAAAGTGGACCCTGGAAAATTACCTCAAGTCTTGCTCTCTCTGACCAGCATGTGGCAATTTCCCTCCATTCCTTCTGTGATGAGGGAACATCTCTAAACATGAAAACATCTTGGACTGTATTGGGTTTGCATGGCCTGTTTTATTTTCTCCTTGTTATACATTAATCTTCCCAAAGCTGAGTCTTGCCCGTGATGGTAATTGGTGAGTGATCTCTCACTCCTCTTATCTTGACCTATGACCCTCCCCTCCTATTTTCTGTCCCTCCCACCCAGCTGAGAAGGGGAGTGAGTGACACAGCAGCTATGGTGGGCACCTGGCATCTGTGCGTGGACAACTCCGCGCACAGACTTGCAGAGGTAGGTGGAAGGTACTGTTTTTCTTAGCTGTCCTGTATTCTAAGTATGTGTAAAGCTGATACATGGCAGCTATTTCCCATACCTCATTTCCCTTCATCACAATGAAGATTAGGCTAAGATTCCTTAAACATCCAAAGGAATAGTTTCATTTATTCAGGATTGCCTCGGCTGCTTGGGAAATTTGCATATTTTTTCAGCTATTATTTCCTGTGGAGGAAAAAAAAAGGAAGACACTTTGTAGTGCCTGTGGCTTCCAGGGCTTTGTAAAAACAACAGCAKGAGGAGGAGGAATCCAGAACTTTTACTGCTTTTTGATCAGCCCATCCTTCTTTTCCCACACAGAGAATTTTAATGGTATCATACGAAAAGACAACGAAGTAGTTTCCATTAGCAAACAGAAGGGATATTTTCTTCCCAAGTGTTAATCAKAAGACTGTTGCCTATACTAAGTAGTGCAAAGATACATTTTTTAAATGGCTGAGTGCTCTTATGTGAAGTGTTCATTCCAGTAGTAAAATCTGCTCCCAGAGTAATGTTCAAGGTGCTAGCTGCCTCTGTCTTGCCTCTGGAACATAAAGCTTTGCTTGTGAGAGTGCAGGAGCTTACATCTCAACTGTGCAGATTACTTCAGGTGCCATATGTGGGGTGAACACAGGCAGAAAAAGAATGATCCTTGTTTTTAAATTGTGGTAACTAAATGCCATTTAAAATACTCCTAAGAGCTCACGCACATGTGTCCTGATGTCTTTACATCTATAACTCTGGCATGGATTGACTGGAGGGTCCTTCCATTCAGAATTAAATAACTGATGCTTTTTGTGCATGCCTGTCTGTTCCTTCTAATAAGGCCAAGTCTGGCTGCACTCACTGATAGCTCTGTATTAGCAAAATCTGCAATACGGCTACAGTTTGTATCGGCTAAACACTTTCTTCTACTGTGACTTCCCCAGCTTCCTGAATGAAATACAAAGTCTCCTTCTGTTGGTATAAAAATGTCAGTTAGGATTGTGATTCTTTGAAGTATGATATCAGAAAGGATTTATAGCATAGGCCAGGTCTTTTAAATCAAGTGTTTAGCTTGAATATGTTAGATAAGCACTGCTGAAAAAGAGAGTAGATTGAAGGGAACAGTTGCTTTCCACTTTGATGTTATAGTTAGGATGGAATTAACAGCTGTATTTTCAGGAAAGGAGTCTGTTTTACAGGCTTGTTTGACTGAAGTTATGTGTCAGGTTGAGGAATGTAGTGTAGGGCAGGAGGAAGGAATGCCCGTCTGAATTTAGAGAAGCATGCCTCTTGTCTAGAAAAAATAGCTCGAAATTAGTGCTGTGATTTTTCTGTCCCCAAACCAAATTCTCTGTGATTTACTATAAAAATAGCTACTTGACTTTCCTTAAACTGATTTTGTTTGGTTTTTTTTCTTTTTTTTTTCTTTTTTTTTAATAGAAATCAGTTTTAGAAATTGGCGAGGAAATATTTTACTTCTACTTAAATATGATGGATTTTCATAGATGCCCAAATTTTGATACCCTCAGTAATGTGAAAGGATAAGTTACTCTGGTTCCATGGGTGCTCCTTCTGACTGGATATGGGGATAATTAATGGTGATGCCTGGGTCTAAAAGGAAAGGTCTAACACAAGCCTCTGTGATTTACAAACATTTGTCTACTACAGCTCATGACAGACCTCTGGCTGGATACAGCCGTGAGTACTGGTCATGATCTCAGAGCAGCAGGAAAAGAACAGGAATATGCTGACAYCTGGAACCTTGAAGTGTATTTTAAAACTTGATTAGTATTTTGATAGTGCTTGGAAAGTTCTAATGTAGTGATCAATAAGCTAAGATACATCTTAGAAATGCAACATTTTATCTGCGGCAACTGTCTATTTCCTCTGCTAATTTTGCAGGCAGCTCTTGGATGGCATATAAAGCTCTTTGCTTCTGGAAAACATCTTGATTTAAAAAAAAAAAGGAAGAAACAYCTTTACAAAAATAGATTTTTATTATTACAATAATTTACAAGATTTCACTATTTCTGAACAAACAATATTGTAATAGGAATTATCAGTAACAAATCTATGGGAACAAGGATTGTCATGGCTGCGTTTCCTAGCGCAGGTGTTAGGTTCACATTATTTCACATACRTTATGTATCTTCATTTTTAAAAGCTATCTTAAAAAGACAGGAGAAGTATACTTTAGTGTTTGAAGGAGGTAATTACTCAGTGAAGCTTCCAAAGATGAAAGAAGGAATAATTCTTCAATCTGTGTTTGCAATGAAAAGCTGAACCCCTGCTTCAAGTTCACAAGCACCATCCAACCAAAGGGAAGATGGTGAAGCACAGAGGTGCCAGAGGTCAAAACTAGGACTCTGCTGTTCGCTGGCTTGGACATTTTCTGGGTTTCAGGTTATCAGTGACAACACTTAAAAATATTCCCTGAATGGAGAAACACTTCCGTTTGAGTGGACCCAATCTTGGAAGTACTTGYACGTATTTATTGTCACAACAGCTCAAGTAAGCAAAATGCACATTTGAACAAATGCAAGATCATTCCAGTAAACTGCAGCCTGTCCCTGCTTCAATCAAAATAAATTAGTTTTGTCATTAATGAGAATAAGAAAGCTCTTAGAATAATGTAACCTTTCCTACTTTTAAAAAAACCCAGCCGCAACACCACTGCATGTTCTTACAAATTTCTGGAGCCCAACACAGCTCAGTTTCTAGTATTTAAAGTACTATCTTAACAAAAAGATGGCTGAGTGAGTCTAATAGGAATTGTTGTAGATCTCTTTTTAATTTGCAAGGCTTTTGATTCAAGGAGCATCTCTTAATTTTCTGCAATTGCTGTTTATATGAATATGTTTTAAACAAAAATAGAAGTTTGCAATATATTCATAATATCAAATTATAATGGCTAAACACTTTGAATTTCTGAAGTGGAGTAAGCCAATCCACCCGAGTACCTAATTAAGTACTTTTTCTGGATCCCAAGTTCTGAGGCTATGAAAAAGTCATATAATTTTCCCACAATATAAAAATTATTATGAGTCTTAATCATACACTGGGATTTCATTTGGCCTACTAGGAGTTCCCAACTCTCCTAGAAATTCAATGAAGTTTACGTGGTCAACTCCAGTATATTTCATCCTTCATTCCTTGTTACTTCAGGATCAGGATACCTAGCAAATATTTTGGAGAGCAGCATTTCAGTATGCTTTGAGGCACCTTCACAGAGTCTGATTTTTCATGGGGAATGTACCTAACACTCAAAATCGGATCTCTCCCTGTGACTCAAGCTGTGTTCTCAGCCCTAAGGCTTCAGAAATCTTTTTTTCCTGACTATTCCCCCTTCCCTCTTCCCTTAATTTCACTGTCTGAAACATAAAACTTCATCATTGTGCTTACATGACTGTATTAAGYGTATTAAGTACAATTCAGTCATTTCTAAAACTGTTTTAATATTGCAAAGTATAGATCATCTCCAAATAAAATATTCTGAATCGTAAGACATGGCTGAAAACCTTCATGTATGTATCTTCCCCATAATCTCAAAATATAAAAGCCAAAGTAGTGCAAGGGTAGGGGTGAGTCTTTCAGCCCATTCTTCCAAGCTGATACTCCCTCTCCACTTTATTTTCTTCATTTAAAGGTGAAGCTTTCCATAAAAGGAGCTAAATCCATTCATAAAATGATTGAAAACCTTTTTGCTTGCTATGGAAACAGCAAGGTTTAAGTACCTAAGGTGAAGTACAATAAAGCAAAATAATGCTTTATCTGTTGTTACTGCTCACACAGAGATTCTGGATATCCATCTCAGGGAACACTAAAAGTTTCTCTATGATATGATTTAATCCAGCGCAAATTTCAAGTTTAATCTCTGTGATCCACTGCATTCAGTCTCTGAGCAAGACTGACAATTTTTTCTACCCTTTTATGAAAATAATCTGAAATTTGAAGACATTGGAGAAAATGAAACCAGGTTCATTAGCATGGAAAAAACTATTGTGTACATCAACTGCCCTAACTTTTCTCACTCTTTGTTCACTGACAGGTTATTTTCTATTACATCTTGCTAGGCATTTTGAATCATTTCATCTTCAAACCCCACTCTGCAGCTGTGGGAAGTAGAAACTTAGACAAAAGCTTTAGAACGATTTTTGTATACCCTCAATCAGCACCACTGCCCCCTCCACCTCCCTTGATTTTAACAGTGTTGTCATTTTAATCATCAGTACAAGCC